AAAAAAAGATAAAATGGATGTCAAATCGTGGAGCTTTCTATCGAACTGAGTCGTTCAGATGTTGGAGAAATCTAGAAAAAGAGAAAAGAACATCTTTAGCCCAGCTGTTTGTCTTTGTGAGCAATTTAGCAGAAAAATGTGTTGTTGCGCAGCCCTCAGCTGCTACATATGGTGCAGATTTACTTCTTTTCGGCTTCATCTATCATTTTACAAATAAAATCTGAGAGAGCGGGTATCAGTCACGTCACGTAAAGTCTCAACCGTCTTCCAGATCTGACGAGCGGTGGGGGGGTCACTGCGTAGTGAAATGTCCTGTTGGGGGTGAGAAGTTATCTCACACTTTTCTGGATTTTCTCTGACACCTCCTCACACAATTTACCTTAAAGAGGGCACCTTCATGCCTGGCATTGAAATAAGCTCTGCATAAGCAATCTGTTTCCTCCTGGCTCCACATCTGGACACATGGGATTCTATAACCCTGAGTTTGTAATTTCATAAATATAGAAGTGCGTCCCAGAAACAAGACTATAACCTGGGATGTCTCGGAGGACTGTGATGACTTTCACATTATTTTTTTTTCCTCCTCCTTCCTCTCTGCTTCTGTCAAAGGTGTAACCAGATCTTAGCGAGACAACAACATGATTGACGTTTCTGCTTGCCTTTCAGAGCATTTGCCAAAACTGCAGCCCAGGCCTTATTCAGCAGCCAGGTAAGGTGACAGAAAAACACAAGTTCTGTTTGTGTCTGTGCTCCCACATCCATATTTATCACGTCCACCACTTGTATGTCTCATTTTATTCAAGCCGATTGTAGGGAAGTACATTTTCTGCCACGCAGGAAGTAAAGACTTTGCAACAGCTGTGATAATTCACTGTGAAAAATTAAATTGTTTTGGCCCTTTAACCCCACTAATCACATTTGGGAAATTTGTTGTAAATGTGTTATTGCTGTGAATTATAATAGATTGCAGCGTCCTCAAGTTTATTAGACCGTTTGAGCGAGATTCGGCTCCCTATAATTCACCACACTACACTGCAACATAATCCTCGGTTCGATGGGACGGGTCGTGTTTGTGTACACAAATAACTCTAGAATTATATGTAAATAACTATAACTTGAAATTGATGGTAATGTAAACATAAATCACACAAAAACTTTTTAGGTAGGAGGCGTTTTAAGACAGCATATGGGATGAATCTTGTGCCAGCAGGAATTGAATTTGAATTGCTCGGATTGAATCTGAATGTGCATAATTTGAAATTGAATGCATTGGTTTGAAAATGAATTTCACTAAATTGAAACTGAATTTATAGTTTTGTATTTGAATTAATTTGCTGTGAAACTGTATTTTGGTCTATTAAGAATTCAGTTAGACTACTTTCAATTTCAGTTCCAAAATTCAGATTTTTGTGTCACATCCTGGTCCTTGAGGAAGCCAGACAGAGTAATCAAACACAGATCCACAGATTTATGTTTCACTTTGGTGCAGTTTCCCTTTTGTAATGTAACAGAGTTGATGCAATCCACCGTAAAAGTGACAAAAACAGACAAAGCTATGTTACTGCAGTGATTAATTTTACCTAAATGTAGAAAATGTTACATTTACATCACATCATGGAACACATATTGATCAGATGCTGCTGCTGACTGATCCATGATGTGATGTAAATGTAACACTTTCTACATATAGGTAACATTAATCACTGCAATAAAATAACTGTCTGTTTTTGTCACGTTTACAGTGGATTGCATCAACTCTGTTACATTACAGAAGGGAAACTTCACCAAAGTGAAACATAAATCTGTGGATCTGTGTTTGTTTACTCTGGCTGGCTTCCTCAAGGACCAGGATGTGACACAAAAATCTGAATTTTGGAATTGAAATTGAATTATAGAACTGAAAGTGAAAGTAGTCAAACTGAAATTTTAATAAACCAGAATACAGTTTCAAAGCAAATTAATTCAGATACAAAACTTTAAATTCAGTTTCAAACCATTAAATTCAGTTTCAATTTAGTAAAATTCATTTTCAAACCAATGCATTCAATTTCAAATTATGCRCATTCAGATTCAAGCTGAGCAATTCAAATTCAGTTCCTGTTGGCACAAGATTTATCCCATAACAGCAGCGGCTCACTTCGCCCTAAGCCTAACTCTAGCCATTAGATTGTCAATTTGGTTAGAATTAAACTTTATTTCTTTAAATTTAGGTTGTCCAAAGTGATTTTAATAGCCTGAACTATCCGTTTAAGTTTGTTGTAGATTCGCTCTACACTGGAGTCCATGTGTTTTGTGTACTTTGTCTTGGGATTTGTCAGTGTATCTTCCCCTGTAGACTTAATAAGGAAGAAAACCACACAAATTAGTGGACTGTAAATATTGCATAGCCTTTAGCCAGTTGTACTTCGCTTAAATAGTCCTCCTTTTAGCCTCACTTAGCTCGTCATTGATTTGCTTGTCCTTTTAAGCTAGTGCCTATTAGGTTTGCTTTAAAGCTCATGCGGAGCAGCAGCGTCTAACACCATGTCAGAACTTCTCAACTGCTCTCATTAGTCCCTCACTTAGCCACCTATTTATACGTGTGTGTTTTGTCTGCGTGTGTGTTTGTTCAGAGGTGGGGGGGTGGGGGGCGGGTGTGGACAGRAGGGAGGGTGGCTGTAGTTTATCAGATGCTGCAGAGACATTAGAGACCTGCATTATTGATGCTGTGGTCAATAGAGGTCTCCAGTGGCCCACAGGAACTGGAAAGTGAAGGATGAGCGAGGATGAGAGTGCTTCAGCCAGCCGTGAAGATGAGGATGGAGAAGCGGGAAAAACACTTTTTTTTTATTGAAGGGAGACAAACGGAAACTTTTATATATAAGAACACATCTGTTGGTGCCTGAAGGGAGCTGGGGAAATGAAAGTGTAGCACAGGTAATTTGGAACAAAATCTCGTTAAATTTATTCGATTGGATTAAAAAAAATCTACTCATTTATTTTATAAAGGAAACAATGTCACATAGGAGGTAACCTTGAGGTAGATGACATTCAAGTGGGGTTTTCTAAGTGTACGAGCATAAGACCCCCTGAGATAGCAAACAAACAACTGCCCCACCCTCCAAAAAACAATTAAAGTATGTTTTAATCATCCAAAGACACACTTTAGATGACTGAATATTTACAGCAACAAATGATGCTAAATTGGCGTCGGACCGTGTCGATGCTAATGTGTTGGAATCAATACCCTAAGTTTATTTTACCTTCCGCTCAAAGCTCCGCTACAAAAATAAAATGCTGTGCCGGAGAACCCATCGAGAGGCAATATTAACTCTGAAYGCTGGACCTTACAAGCAGGTCAGATGATAATTTAATTGCTTCTGATCACACAAGAACTTCAGCATCACACAAGCTAACAAAGGTAGCATGTGTGGTTACTTTCTCAAACAAAGCCCGCTGTGTCTGACGACTTCCTTTGCGAACAGCGGGTCATCTCTGAACTTTTTCCCCCACCTCTGAGCTGCTACGGTTCATAATGAAGTCTGAAGGAGGCCATGTTTTAATGATAAAGTGATACACCACTGGAAAAAAAAAATCTGATCTAAGACCTGCAGGATTATTTCCCCACTTTCTGAATAACGTCACGCCCACCTCCAAAACCAGTGGTGCCCCCTAGGGGTTGCACGCCCCACAGTTTGAACACCCCTGCATTAAATAAAACATCTGTAGAAATAAATGCATTGTTTTAAATGATATGTCCAAATAAAACAGGAATCCACTGGATTTCTTCTTCAAATTTTATTCTCAATCTTCTGACTCCAATCAGGTTCACAGTACAGCACTCAGCAGGCCTCAGTGCAAGACCTTGGGCTGAACCAAAACAAAACACAGGARCCCTGCTCTAAGCAGACTGTGCATCACACTAACAACTTCCTTTTACTATAATAATGAATTGACTTTATAATGTATTTCTCTTCCTGGTTACACCCCTGGAGGGGTTACCTTTCACGTCAGATGTAGAACGGAACTCATTTTTGTTAAGGCTAAAATAAAGAACACATGATAAGACACACACCAACTCTTTGTCTGCTTTAACCTAATGATCAGAAAGTATAAAATACAATACTGGATCTAACGTTCAATTAATCATTTATAGAATTTTCTTCACATCCATCCATTATATTTTACGCGCTTCTTCCTTTCAGGATCACGAGGGTCACTGGTGCCCATATCTAGCAATCACTGTGCGAGGGGCGGGGTACACCCCGGACAGTTCCCAAGTCCATGACAGGTTAAAGAATACAATATCATAAAACAAAATAAATCTGAAAACTTAATGTTACAAATTGTAAACCAGTTAAAGTTCATAAAACAGTTGGAATGATCAAATTAAACCTTTACTTGATCAGAAAAGAAAACACTTCAAGTTAAATTTCTTTTGTCTTGTAGTGACCTTTTCAGGGTTTACCCTCCCTCTCACCAAGTGTCATTTGGAAAATACTAAAGCCCCTGCAACACCAAACAGGATAGATTATAAACCAACATATTCTACCTAGAGTAGCATTGTGTGGGTGTTAAATATATGGATCAAAATAATCAATATTTAGTTGTAATTCTTAGCTAAAACTAGTTAAAAGCTGAATGTTTTTAATAAACGTTTCATATAACAAAACACGTGGCTGGAATTAAATGATAAAAAGGACACTATTAAAAAGTGATATTGTTAAATAAAGTGATTGTTCACACTTTCCAGTTATACCCATGATAGTAATTAAAATGGCTTCAATGTCTTCAGAATCAAAAATAATTGCTGCTGATTAAATTCTGTTGAAAATATTTCAAACTCTCTGTACCCCTTACATTTATTTAATTTTATGTGTATTTCCCTGAACTTACACACACACACTCATGTTTCCATTTTCCTCTTGTCTTTTTTCCTCGTCCTCTGTGGGATCATCTCTGAAGCTCCTGTCTTAAGCACCCAGGAAAGCTGCATTTTGTCTTCAACGTGGTGGAGCTCCCAGCGTGCCCTGGGAGACCTGCGGGCAGGCGAGGTTTGTGTACTGGTTGGCTGTTTGACCTCATCAATCCCTGCCTGGTTTTCCCTGGAAAACCGGAATCATYCAGCAGCCTGCCTCTGCCAAAGGTGATTATGCGGGAGCAGAGAAAACTGAAAGTGGATTCTGTACCTTTGTGGTTTTCAAACTTATTGCTCATATTTGACATTACAAGTGTTTGGGTTCTGTAATCCAACTGTGACTAGAATAGAAGAAAGCAGATATAAACTATACAAATCCCAGTCTTTCGCCGCCTATTTGCATTGTTTTGAAGAGTTGGAAAACAAAAAGTATACTTGTGTTTTTTTCTACACGTTCTCAAAGAACAACAAAGACAAGTGTTGAGCTTCATGTTATAGAACCGTGCAGTGCTGGCCATTAAGGGTTTAAATTATGTTTACTTCATGTTTTGTGGTGCCCTAGAAACTCTCCAATGTGTCAGACACTAAACARTTAGCTCCGAGTCACTTGTTTGTGCTGTTAATTAAGAAAAGCTTGAAGATGCAGGAAGCAYATCCTCTCCACCACAGACCCTATGGAGTCCAGCTGAAGCTCACGTTTCCTCATTAGCATGTCTTAGAGTGTTTTTGCGAGCCCACCGTGGCTTGTCAGCATTTTTTGTAATTACTCATTATTTTAAATGATCTGTAATGGTTTCTGATCGTAGATTCCCGTGAGTTTGAGACCCAGCTGCTCCTTTCGACCTCCTACTGACCCATCAGTACCCTTCATTATGATTGGACCTGGAACTGGAGTCGCTCCTTTTATTGGCTTCCTCCAGCAAAGGTATGATTAATGACTGGATAGATGCATAGATGCAATAATGGATGCAGAAATTATGGGTTTATTGCCAGTTCTGTGTTTTTGAATCCATCTTTTTTTYATCCGGAGCTTTTTTCCTGTGCATTAGAGAATGGGAATCTTTAGGCACCTCACAAATTAATTGGATTAGAATTCAGAGGGCTGCTATTCAATTATAAAACAATTATTGATGCATTTTGATTATCTATGATTTTCAGGTTTATGAATAAACATTAGAAGGCAGCTGGTAAGCTTATGATGTTTATCCAAAACTCTATGAGATGAAAATACAGAGAAATACACATTTACAAATTAAAGTGACTGAGTTACAAATTACCATGATTAAAAAGACTAAGCAGATGTTTAGAGTTTCCCATGCCTGCTGATGGTGACGATTTATAAAGTTGGTGTTCTCATAAATTTGGTCTTTCTTAACACTAACTTTCAACAATTCTGTCCCTACTAATTGAACTGAAGCTTTCAGAGAGCTCAAATGTAGTTCCCTCTAGGACTGCAGAAAACAAAAATATTACAGTATTTTTGTTTAAAGGGGACTCATCGTGCAAAATCCACTTTTTAAAGCATTTTTTGTGTACTTGGAGTCTCTAGGAGTGCAGAAAATTAGAATTAGTCTCTCCAGTTGCTGTGTAGATTTCTTTATATTCTTTTTGGGTCTAAATTTTCAACCTTTTCAGTTTTCTCTATTTTCTATGACATTTTCTGAATTTATACGTTGCAGTTTTGCTACAGACTTTTTTTTATACTTTAATAGTTCAGCTTAGCCTGTTAGCCTTTGCGCTGGCGCCAACACTATATTGCCTTATGTATTAGCTCAGAGCTAGCGCGACAAACAAACTAAATTGAGGTCCTCCATCCATATTCAGATGCAGGCTGAGTCATTTTTGTGTTCCCCTCTCTGTCATGTGGATGGAGGACCTCAGTGACGAGAGGAGAATGTGTAGCGCTGAGCTAATACATATATATGGTTATAGCGTCGGGGCTAACGCTAAAGCTAACAGGCTAAGCTGAGGYTCTTCTTCCATGAAGCAGCTCTGTTGTCCTCCATCCATATTTTCAGTTACAGGCTGAGTCATTTCTACCTTCTCCTCTCTGTCAACGCTCTCTGGTTTCATTTTAAAGAGTCGATCATCAGATATTGTCCAAGATTAACCTTCAGGGTGGACATAGCTCGCTCACACCGAGGACCTATCCACGTCATTTACCCAAAATGCTTTTCATGTAAATAAAATGGCCCCATCCTTGTAATAAATTTTTAAGCTTTTAGTTTAAAAATGATAAAAACTGAACATCCTACAGTATTTTTACAGTCTTTATTTTACAGTTAAAATATTTGTTTTTTAAATAAAGTCTAATGTTACAACTAATCATGARTCCCTTTAAAATGTCAGGTTCTTTAGAGGTCAGTAAACCTTCTATTTATTTGCTCACAGGAAGAGATTTTGTTGAACGGTTGTGCCCAAACTTAAGGCCACTGGTAATGAAGTGTTTTTAGATCCTCATTTTAAAAATGTCACCGTCGAGCAGTCCTRTTCTAGTGTTGTAACTTCAAAACTTAGAAGCTGTTCTAAAGTCAGGTCAAACTTCATATATTTGCAAAGAATGGCGCGTGTTCTCTCCAGCTGGAATTGCAATGAATATTCACAATGCTGGAGTAGTGTTAAGTGCACATCGCCTTGCATATTTTCAAGTAATCAGCAGAAATGTTAAATGTGACTCTGCGCAAAGCTGATAAAAGTCCACATCATGTACATCACATAAGGCATAATAAATCCAGTGGCGAGGGATGAAATCACGTTGGGGATTATTTCGATTGCTCTCCTCATTTCACTTGGAATAAATCAGCCGTTCTCAGATGCACACGTTTATGACTTCTGTAATAAAGAGCCAGGATTCAAAGCAGCACACGGGGTTTTATTGATTTGAAGATAAAAAGACCAGAAGGTGGTGGCCGTGTTATTGGTGTAACTCATCGTTTGTAATTGCCGATGAGGTGTTGTGGGGGCACTGTCTGTCAGCTGAGTAAGTTAGTCCAGCTAGTCAGCCAATCGCCGTTTGGTATCCGCGCCACCAGCGACATCATTTAAAGCGAACGTGACGTTTGTTTAATTTTCTCAGCCTCAGATATGATGGGTAAATGAAGAATACATGAAGATGACCTGTCAGGAGGATTTAATGTGACTGACGCTTCTCTACCCAGGCTGATGATCAAGCGTTTAACCATGATCACAGCCAACATGACTTGTCAGAGAGCAGAGTAAGCCTTTTTTTTGTCAGGCTGACATGTCTAACTCTTGGGTGGCTTTGTATAAATGAGGTTGCGCCCCAGTCAAGTCCAATTGTCTGTAAATTCTTGCGACGCTGAGCCGTGGTGTCCTGACATCCTTGTGTGAAGGCTGTAAGGAGTGACGACAGGACTTTGATGTATCGTCTGTAGCAGAGTGGAGCTGAAAGGAGTCGTCATCTGGCGTTTGAGCCGCTGGGATGGAGAAGCACTGAAGTTATTTTTTTTAACTGACTCGGTGCCACCAGGTCGTAGACAGACCCCTTTCCTTAATAATTGAGGTGCATCCAGAGGCACGCTTCTCTGTTCTTTGTCAGAGAAACAAACACATCAGTCTTGTTTCCTTTTATTTCTCCTTCCTCACAGCAGAGTCCAAATATCGCTCCGTGAAATGTTAGACAAAAAATACTCTTGTAAGTGTTTTATTAAAGTAGAAGGCTCCCACAACAATTGATTGCGGAGGGCTTTGCTTCATCATACAGCGCGCAGTCACTCATCAAATACTTCCTCGCAAGCCCAGTGTTTATTTTATAAAATTTCCTCTATTGATTTTTTTTTTGTCTTTTTATCTCAAGGAGCTCTTCACTGTTACAATATAAAGTCATGTAAATCAATTCATCAGCTCGGCTCTGCCCTCTTCGTGTCGGCGTGTCTCGTTCCGTCCCCTGCCAGCTGCGTTTTGTTCCGGAGGATTATGTGAACCTGTCACGGCGTGGCATTGTGCACCGTCCCAACGCTGACACTGCACTCTGGCAGGAGATAACAATCGCCGGTTTGTCAACGGGACGCCATTTCTGCCTGCAGGCGACGAGACGGGCCCTGTTTGGCAGCAAAAACAATACGAGGACGCTTCGATCCTCCAACCTCTCCCCCTTTCTGCCCACCCCCACTGTTAATCGATGACTGTTTTCAAAAGTACTTTGTAGAAGTTTAGAGCTCCGGTAACAAGTAGAAGAAGAGCCTCTAAAGGTTAGAGGCTCACTCGGTGGGGCCAGGAGATTATAAAAAAGGCTCCCCAGTTGTCTGGTATCGATCGTTGTTTGGGATTTTATAAAAAAGTGTGATTCTCTTTGTTGTTCTGATTAGCCGGGGGCAGCGACAGCTAAACAAATAATGTATTTTAAATGAAAGGTTAGCTTAATCTTCTTAGCAGGAATGAAAAACTGCATCCCTTGAGAGACGAATACCTGAAAACCCACCCCCCAAACATCAGATTAGTTAAATGCTTAGGTATTCCAGAAGCCATGCTTAACTCCATTATGACAATTTATATTAAAGTTGATGCAAAGCTTCTATTAAACAGTCCAAACTGTCAGCTGACGACAAAAACTGATTGGAACGTAATTCTGAAATGCAGTTTTTGATGCATTACTTTTTTTAAATGAGCCACTAAGCTCCGCTCTCACAGAGCTGCAAAGATAAAAATGAAAGATATGAGATAATTTTGATGTTTACCAAGCTTTAGCCTCGGCTTCCTTTGCAGTTTCCCCACCCTGCTGATCATCTGAATGGAGCTGAAAGGCAAAGCACTTCTGATTTAGACCCCAAATGGAGTGCTCTGCCTTTCCTCCTGGGAACGCATTGCYCGCCGTTCTAGCGCGGCTGTGTGATGTGATGTGATTTGTATTCAGGGAAAGGCGCCGGTGTGGTCTACTCAGAATGGAACCCAGGTTTTTCATATTGGTATTGATCCCTTTAGGGCAGGCGGCGAGAGGAGAGAGACGAGTCCAGCTAAAATGAGTTTACTTCAGGCTGTTTTGCAGATCAGAAGGTTCTCGTCCAGGATGCTAATGGATGGGATCTGAGTGTTCAGATCAAGTCTGCCAGACAGCTTTGTTTCAAAACCACATGCACAAACATCCAGTTCAAACAGAAGTATTTTTATTAGCTATTTAACTTTTCATGTCGTTAATGGGAGCAAAGCTTTGTTTTAGTATTCACAATCACCCGTCTGCATTGATTTGTTTTTCTTTCTGGRGCTAATTACTGTCGAACAGCAATGCAAAATGGATTCTGCTGTTCATTATTTTACATGTTTTAAATCTGCATGTCCTTTAGTTAGAAAATGTCAGGAGAAAGATGTACATGTTTAGAGTCCAAGGTGCTCAGAAGATTTTTAGTTTATAACTACATATAATTGTGTATTTGTTTAAATTTTTTTTTAAAGTTACAGTAGTTAAATCGCAGTATTTGTGAGGGAACTGCGAAATAAGGTTTGAATTTAGAAACTACAATTTGGTCATCTTCATTTTCCTCTGGCTCCGACACGTAAGGCTGGATGGACAAGTCTTCCCTTGTTGACATCTTTTAATTARTTTTTAAATAAAACTTTTCGGTGCTGCTATATAGTCAACAACCCCTCTATCAAACTAGAATGGACCTCTCTGGATGCTGGAGGGGTGGGCGGGGTGTGAAGCACCTTGTATGGATTTAAAGAGACAGCCTCAAAATGAGTAGATCTGAAACACACCTCAGAAAATACACAGCCCTAATGTAAAGCTAAAAAAAGTAGATTTTGCATAATACCACCCCTTTAAAAGCATGGTGTCTTTTTAATATCTCAATTCACTTTTTGTTTTGTTTTGTTTTTTAATTTAAACCAGAAAAGTCCTGCCCCTGAATAATTTCAAAACCAATTTTTGATATTAATAAAGCGGTGACAAGATTGGGGAAATAGACAACTTTTTTTCTTGTTTCTCAACTTTGGTTTTAATGTTTATATAGATTTTTAAGGAGACRCGTGTTTTCTATCATGTTAAAAAAAGTTATAATGTCTTTTTTATTACACTGTCTGGATACAGAATTGACTTTCGGAATCAAACTTGTTTTTTTGTGCAAAAGCAATTTTTTGAATTTCAATTTAAGTCAGTGTACTGCTCAACTGTAAATCTTGTCAGATGTAATTTGGACCCAAACCACAATCAGAAATCTGTTATTATAGTTCTTTTACTCAGACTGCCGTGTTTCGGCGTGTAACCTGATTTAGTTGGATCGTTTGAAACAAGTAAAAACATTTGCAAGAGGCTGTTTGTTTACCAATCCTGTATTTCAGCTCCAATTTATTCCAACAACACCCAATTTCAAACTTAAGAGTTGGCTGCAATTTATATTTTTCTGTCAGCTGGAAAACAAAGCAGATTTAATTCACTTGTTGATGAGTGGAGTTCAGGGGAAATTGTGACTTTATAGGTAGTGCAGCAGAAAGAGTTCAGCCTCTCTTTATGGTTGGTCACATCAACCATCCATCCTCTTTCTGGAACATGAGTAACAGATAATGCCAGGGGTTTTGGACTTTCCGGTGACTGATAGCATCATCAAAGGTTGGGGGGGTCAACTGTTATCTGTGGGGGGGCTGTCACTTTTGCAGCAGGTGTGTGGCACAGATACCGACATTCTCATAGCCTCTTTCTGATGGCTGCAAGGGAATTTGGGTGGTTTGCCAAACTCCAAAGCCAAAATAGAAAATACTTTTGGGGGACAATTTTCTGTACGGAAGAACAGTCAGACACAAATGTGTGTATTAGTAACACACACACACACACACACACACACACACACTGAATCTTAGTTTCATTTTCAGTCGCAGTATATTGTGATGGGATCTATTCTGTTTGGGTGCAATTTAATAACACATGCTAGTATTATGTCCTCGCTTATGCCCACATGGTCATTTCTGCGCTTTAAGCAATCGTGGCACTCAGTTTGCTGTTACCACAGTGAGTTCATAATAATGTCACTTCTCTTCTTTCACCTYCGCTGCGAGGAAGGACTCGCTCTCCTCCATCTGCTCTGGTTGTCTGTCTRTATTGATTGACTGCTAACATCCGTTGTTTGACTTTCAGAGAGGAGGAGAGAAAGGAGAAGCCCGATGTCGCGTTTGGCGAGACCTGGCTGTTCTTTGGTTGTCGCCACCGAGACAAAGACTACCTGTTCAGGTAACCTGCATGTCTCCTTTCAGTTAAACTTAAAGAGAGTAAAGAAATCCAACACTTCAATGTTAAGTACTTACTGAACTTTTCATGCTTGGAAATCTTTGACCTGGAGTTTGTTTACTTGATGTGGGTGTTCTTTTTTTTTCATACTGCGCTTTAGTATTGTGTGAATTGTATATTAATAAGCACTTAACAGCTCAAGAGTATGTTGCAAAGTGTAAGAAAAAGGTGTCATATAAGCTGTCAGCTAATGCCAGAAGTTTTTCTGGTCTTAAAGAAAAATAAATGCAAGCCGTTCTGCTGTTTTGCAGTCAAAACAATATGACTAAGTAGATATATTAAATAATACTCAGTGATAATGTGCCATAGGATACTAACAGCTGTTTTTTAAATTAGACTGACTATATTGCTAATAATTAGCATTTGTTCAAGTTAACTGGGAATGGAGAGGAAATAACACAACCTATCAACACAATTTAAAAACTGGTTTTAAAACTGAAGTCTCTACTCTTGATTTACCGTATTTATTCATGTATAATACGATCTCATGTATAATACAACCCCCCTTTTTTTTAGCTTAAAAAGCATAAAAAATTTAATCCTCAAACTACCTCCAATTTCATACAAACTTCAAGATTTTTCAGCCTTTGCTGTCTTTATACATATCAGTAAAATGATCATTGGACTGTTCATTTTATTTTAACAACATATGTACTAAAAGGTATTTTGACAACAAATAAATATCAGCTATAGCAGCATCAAATGAATTCTGGCATTTTACACATAGTCCACCAGGATGCGCCAACACAAAAGTCAGAGACTACACATGAGATGTGGACCATCTAGTGGGGGAAAAGCCGATTACTTCCTACTTGCGAGCGCCCCCTCTGGTGGGGAAACTTTTTTCAGGGATAYAAACTTTTTCAGAACRCCGGTAGACGGCAGCCATTACAGACGAACATGTTTGTTGTTGTTCGAGGAGCGGCCCAGTCAAACGYTAATGTCATTAGTTCGTTATCATTACTAAGGTGCAGGACTGCCTTTTTTTCTTTTTTTTCWCATCATGTCGCTTGCTTGGATCTGTTATTATCTCGCTCTGAGGCACGAAGGAGTGTCACAGGTAAGCTTGTTTCAACTGCTTTTTACGACGCTGTCTCATTTCCGAACTCAGACTTTTTGTGAACGAAGCCGATATTTCAGTTAAAATACATAAGTAAAAATATTTATCCGAGTATAGTACTACCCCCCAACTTTATGGATGATTTTATGGATTTAATTTAACGTTTTATACTTGAATAAATACGGTGAATTGAAACTTATCTTTCTGGTCCCTCTAAGAGGAAGTTATCAGTTAATCAAATGGAGCAATTTAATCAACCATTATTYGACAATTAATCGTCGATTAAGTGATTGCATCTCCCAAAGTGGTAAGCTGCTCTGTCTAAGATCAGATGCCCTGATTGGCAGAAAAGCTGGTCTTAGGAGCTGGAGTTGAATGATCCAACCTGGGTGAGGAGGGGGCCCAGCAGGAGGAGCCAGGAGAGGCCAACCCATCCAAGCCTTGTCACCACAGAGCTTGGCCAGCAAATCTCCAACCTGCAACAGCACAGGCCTTTACAAACAAATGGCYTCAGGCCAACTAACTAACTGTTGGTGCAGCATTTATTGTTCAGCTTAAATGCTGAGCAGGTCCAAACCGACTAAAAAGTGGAGATAGTATTGGGCTTTAATTTGTTATCTGGACACAAGCCTGACTCTAAATGAATGCCAATGATGTTCCACATCTGGTGCATGTGTAGCCAACTAACTTGAGATGCCAGCAAGGTTTATAGCTCGCAGGGCTGCTGCTGAAAGCCATACTTGAAGTGATTAAAGATTTGCTAAGTGTTTCAGATAGAAGCTGGACTTAATCACAACTCTGGTGTTCATTGACAGGAAGGTTCTTGGTTTAATTTGTTACTCCAACACAAAATTGGATTTTTGTTTGGGCCTGATATAGAGGTCAGTGTTTCTTTTTCTTGTTTTTAATGACTGCAAAGTCAAAAGACTGCTGTAAAATCACAATAAAAACTAACAAGTGGTTGAATTTTTATTATCAAGCAGTCACCTGATCATAAATATCCATCCACCTGCACAGATGTGCTAAATATTAAAGTGCCTGTGACATCAAATTTTTATAATAAATAAGAATGCATTTTTGGAGAGATAACATTGATAACATATTGTAAAAAAGATTTCATGCCGCTGAGATGAACGGTTGTTGAGATATTCACACGTGAAGAAACAGGAAGTGATGCCAAAGGGGAATATCTGAATGTAAACAGAGCATTGTTAAAATGGCTAACAGCACAGACTGTAGAGAAAAAACAGATGTTTCTTTAAATTATTTTAATCAATATCAGGTGTAGATGAGAACGAGTCATAGTTCAAAATAATATTGTTTCGATAAACAAAAACCAGGTAGTTTTCTTTCTCAAAGAGTTCCCCTTTGATGTCACTTCCTGTTTCACTTTAGCTGAGCCAAATTCAGAAGAAAATATGCCAATTATGTGACATAATGGGTCAAATCATGTGTATTATACCAAGTGTCTCAAATATAAATATATCTTCTTTGACTTTTTGTATTTCATGGATATGCATGTCACAGGCACTTTAACCACCAGTTTTTACCTCAACAGATATCTTCTTTCTGATTAGTTTGTTTTGGCTTTGCTTTCTTCTGATTTCATTCTAATTGGTCAGCTTTTTGGTATCAGCACCAAGTGTTTTCTCTACGCCGGGGCGCTGATGGGGTTCTTTTGAAGGATTAAATTGTGCGAATGGATTAGCATCCTTAATGGCACAAAAATAGATCACAGAGGATGTTTGTTCCCCTCCATTTCCTCTATCCCGCACTTAAATACGAACGCCCATCTAGGTAGTAGGCAGCGTTTGTTCGCAGTGTGGGCTCTTCTGTTGTGTACCCCCACGGTGTTGACCAAAGTGATYAGTCTGTGTTTTATGAGCCACCCACGAAGAATTGTACTCAATTTAAATGGGTTAGCAGAATGAGAACAACATGCCGTCGCTTGGAATTGCCTGCCCGCATTCATCTCTGTGGGATTTTTTTGTAAAGTAAGTGCAATTTGATGTCTGCCGCGGACTGCAGAATCCCGTTCAGCGTATTATTTCTAATTCGGTTTTTACGTCATTTAAAGAAAAGTTTAGCTGAAGCCATAAGAAGTGGGGTACAATTAGAATATTATCACAGCACAATGTGACACGACACACGGTTGTCCCATCAAACATACCTTCCTCTCTGCTGCACTTATCCTTTATCTCACCTTCTTCTTTCTCAGCTTCTTTACAGCTTGTGTTTTATCTGTAGAGGAAACTTAACTAGAAAATCCTGCTGGCTTCTTGCTCGGTTCACGGAGGCCACTGCAGGACCTTAGAAAGTTAAGCAAGTCAAGGAGTCTGATATGTTACGGCTCTTCTTTTTTAATTCCCAGTCTGTTGTTTGCTTTTCAAAAGTCAATATTTCTTTTGGCCTCATCAGGTTGTGATGATTAGTTTTCAGATGTCAGACAAAAAAAAAAAACTCCCCACAGTCTTTGATTTTGCTATTCATAGCACTGGCTTTAAATTTCAAATGTAAAAAGTCGTTGCATTTAATGGAAAAAAAAGAGTGTTTGGTTTTGTTTTTCTTTTAATTGACTTCAAAGGTTAGATGGTAAACATCACAGGAGAGGTGAAAAGTTTGGATGTTTCTAGTAAAACAAAGACAATAAGCCTTGTCTTGTTAGTATTCACACTGCAGTGTCTGTGTGTTTTCCCAGAAAAAAAGAAAAAAAATACTCTTATTTTAGTCTAGGGGTTACTGGAAAACACAGAACCCCTGAAGCAAAGACCTTCACCCATGATCTTAGAGCTGCAGCTCGTTATGTTCCAGTTCGAGTGCGTCCGTGTCCATGTGCGTGTGTGTGTGTGTGTATGCTCCATTAGACTGCTTAGCTTTAAATAAGATGTTCTGAGCCACACTAAACCTCGATCCCTCACCAACCTCCACTTCCAACAGCACCCCAGGCCCTGTGAAAACACTGAGGCTGGAGAAGAAGAAGTCAGCAGGCAGCACACTGACAGGGAGCAAGGTTACATACAGCTGAAAGGCTGGGAGGATTGTAAAAAAAAACATGTTCATTACAGTGACTTGATCTTACTGGAAAAATCTGTAGCCGTTTTACACTTCTCTTGTTTAACAGGATACGGTGATTGTGCGGCACAGGTGCAAACAGACATTTAACCCATCAGTGATCTGCTCTAACAAGCTTAATGGATGTTTTTTTATTCAGATGTAAAGTTTTTGGGGGTTACACGTCTTCTGATTCTGGTTAGGTTATTAAATCCACCCTGTGAAAAATGTTTCATACTCTTTGCTCTGAATGCATTCTCCCAGGAAATATTAGCAAAAAGTCTCATAATGTCAATGAGTTGCCAGTTCTTTKGCTACGATCTTGAACCACTAATGGGACAATCAGATCACTGTTCTCTTCAGCTTACAGCTTCTCTGTGAACCTAAAGGAATAATTTAGATCAGAGGTGTCCAAAGTGTGGCCCGGGGGGCGATKTGTGGCCCCTGAACTGATTGTGTGGCCCCTGACTTCAGTTCAAGAATTATTCTAATTTGTTTACAAATTTGTCCCCCCGGCACAGCTGTTTGATGGAGACTTTCTATTTATTATTAGGGCAAATTTATCACAGACAAAGTAAAATCTTACAATAAAAAATATTAGCAATAATACCAATTATTTGTCTTTAAATAACCAGACTCAGCTTTTTCCACATCTATCTAGTGGCTTCTACTTAAAAGCTGATTTTGCTGCACTCCAATCTGCTTTTAATTAATTTATTAAATTTGTCTGAATACAGCAAGCCTTTTCAGTGAAAGAGTGACTTAAATACTGGTTTTATTGATCAGAATTGACTAAATTGGGTTTTTTTTCCCAAATTGAAACCTAGAAAATTGCCAAATTTCTTTCATTAAGAGAATCCTGCAAAACACTTTTAAAGTTCTGGATCTAGATTAATTTACACATCCATTTCCAGCAATAAATCTGACTATTTGTTTGATTAAAGTATTCAATGC